GGGCAGAGCCAAGGGCTTCGCGTTCAGGCGGGAGCGGACACGCGCTACTCCCGCCCGCCCGCATCTACGAGACCCAGTGGTTGAGTGGTGGAACATATGCAGTACGCTGGTCAACCGAGCGGGAATATTACGGCAGTCACAACGAATATCCGATTTACACGTGGTCCTCAGCCAGATGGAAGACCTGCTGAGCATCAATAACGCCACGGACATGTTTACGATTTTCCACGACGAGGATAAGTTCAAGTGCTGGTTGGGCATGGTTACCATGGTTTCAGAGTTAGATCACACGGACTTCTCGGATTTGCAGCAGATGACAAATCAGTTCCTCAGCAGAGCGGTTGGGCGATCCCGATCGAAGGCGAACAAGAGCTTCCAGCAGTGGGTGATCCGCATGCGGAAATCTACCCCAGGAGTTATCCACAGGTTTTCGCGTGGTGTGCTGGACAAGGCTGATGAGATCATTGGCACGGATCGTGTTATCGGCTCACCCAGTATCATGGACCACCGGGCGGACAGATGGCAGAAAGTTTGGAGCAGTGACAACTTCAGTGCTGCCAATATAGAATATGGGTTGAGGTACCTACGGCAGAGAGCCCCTCAGCAGGACAGCGAGCTGATCACGACGGACCACATATACCAGGCGGCATCCAGCGTGCACGCGAAGAAATCGAAGGGTATTGATGTAGTGGGTCCAGCGGAGGTACAGCGACTACCACTATCGGGTGCACATCAGCTGGGGCGGCTGCCCAATGAGGTCGAGGAGATTGGGGCGTGGCCTCCACAGGTCAACCTAGTCGTTGGAGCGATCGCCCCCAAGCCGAGAGGAGGAGATCGAGTTTTAGGACTGTTACCGTTTTTGGTCCAGCTCTGGGCAAAGATACGCAGTGCGGCTACATTGCAATGGGCCTCCGAGGCTGACGAGCATTGGGATGCCGCCGTCCGTGTGTCCTCGTCATTGCAAGCTGCGTTGGTTCGCGCGCTGTTAGACGAGTCAGCACCAGAGCTTCACATTGCGTCAGTTACGTTATTGTTGGACATAGAATTTGTTTTACGACAATCTAGACATCGCAAAGTTGTGTGCTGCGGCTCTCACGCAAGGGTTTCCCGCCAAGGTGCTGCTTATGGAGCTCCAGATGTGCCTCGCGCCGAGGGTGCTGAAAGACCGTAGTTGGGTGTCGCACGCTATGCAGGCACAGCGGGGTATTGTGGCGGGTTCGCTTAACGGTGGTAGAAAGGCGAAAGCTTTCCTAGGCCCCATCATGGAGAGGGCCCACCAGCAGTACGGCATGCAGATTATTCTCAGAACGTTCGTAGACGACACAGTGATTCGTGCGGAAAGTACTGCTAAGCAGACTACTTCCTTGACGATCGAATCGGGTGCGATGGTTTGCGAACAGCTACGGCAAGCTGGCTTAGTCATCAGCGAGAAGACCACGGTTGTTGCTTCGGACAAGGCGGTCACGTCGACTAAGAATCCCTGTCACTTCCGCGCACGAGGCGGTCGACCTGGGCATGGACACCAGTGCAGGGCGTCGTCGCACCTGCATCAAAGCGAATGAGAGAATAACGAAGGCAGCTAAACGAACATGGGCGGTCACGAGGATGAGAAGGCATGCCAATTTACGGGGCATCACTACGGCGTTGTGGACTGCTGGATCACGACCACAGGGAACATACGCCCATCAGGCGTTTGGCGTAGCAGGGCACGTTATGACAGATTTGAGGAGACAGGCAGCGCAGTGTTCAGTTGGTGCAGGACCAGGACGTTGCTTGACTACGGCATTGGCGATGGTTCATGGCAAGAAGGATCCAGCCAAGGCAGTGGGACTCGAGCATTTCCACATGTGGCTGAAGATGTGGCGCGAGCATCCTGAGTTGCATGCGCGTGTGGCGACGGCTTGGGTCGGCATCCGCAGGCGGCTGCTATTGGCAGGATCACGCAGATGGCGACTAGTGAGAGGCCCAATCGGAGCTACGATTTCAACTCTGGTGGATATAGGATGGGCCCCACATTCGCCTATGCAATGGGAGTCTGCAAAGGTAACGTGGACCATTCCTTCACATGCAGATGCTGAGTATGAGCACTTCCACAGTGACTTCACTGACATTTTGATGGGCATTGAGGACGCCATAGATAGACTACTATGGAATATCGCTTCGGGGCACGACAACGGCAGCGACCTGCACGACGGGGCTGACACGCACCAGCTGTCCAGGGAGCTGCGCACGCTCAGGGACGACGGCGGCTCCGACGACATGGGCACTGAACGTGGTGGTGGCGACTGGGGGCCAGTGGCCCCGTGAGAGGTTGCAGCAGGCTGGGTACAATATGCCTAGCCTTTTATGTCCAAGGTGCCAACCGGCGCTTGAGAGTCTGTTTCGCCGTATATGGGAATGCGAGGCCAACGTTGGCCACCCTGATTTCACGAAATCCGATTCCTTGATCCCCCAGGCTAGGGCGAACCACGAGAGTTCGCCGGGTTTCTGGCTCCGTGGG